CATTTCCAAGCTCGCGGGACCCTCACTGGGCCCAGGACCGTCAAATGACGACTCGGGCCGTCGGGGTGAACAAGCGGTCCTGGGGAAACAGTCGACTTCCAAGTACCGCCCATCGAGACCATCAAGACCTCGCATGTCGGGGCCGTCGGGGAGGAGAAGGAGAGGGAGGCGGAGGAGGAGGAGGAGGAGGAGGAGGAGGAGGAGGAGGAGGAGGAGGAGAAGGAGGAGGGGGTGGGTAGGTGGGTGGGTGGGTGGGTGGTGGGGGGAGGAGGAGGAGGAGGAGGAGGAGGAGGAGGAGGAGGAGGAGGAGGAGGAGGAGGAGGAGGACGAGGATGACGAGGAGGAGGAGGAGGAGGAGCACAAGGAGGAGGAGTCGACTTCCAAATGCCGCTCATCGAGACCATCAAAGCCTCGCATGTCGGGGCCGAGATCTGGGCGCTGCAGCTTGTCCACGGCGGGCGGATCGATGCGGCTCAACACGTGCTGCTGAAGCATGGGGTCTACGGAGCTCCTGGTTGCGTTTTGTCGCGGTGCTGCCGGGCTGTCGCAACGCAAGGCCTTTTGGGGGGCAAGGCCCCAGGGCGACATTCCGCCACCGCGCCCGGGCTGCGTGGGCCGGGGCCCTGCTGCTGGGGTCCTCCCTTCAGGGCCGCCTGGGTGCCTCTGGGGGTGCCTCCGGGGGGGGGGGGGCTCCTCCTGGGGACCTCCTGGGGGGCGTCCTGGGGCGGCAGTTGTTTGGCTTCCCTTCGAGGGCTCACCACAATATATACCACCTGCTATCCTGGAGCTCATGAGACTTCAACATCTACAAAGACGGAAAAGGCTGGTCGCTTCCAAGATGGCTCTCGCCTTCGCGCCGCGGACACTCGCCCTCCAAACAAAGAAAACGGTTACAAACATGGAGACCAGTTCGTTTCCAAGATGTAGCTCTCGCCTAAATGCCGCGCTCACTCTGTTTTAAGCACTTCCAGACATTACGAGCGTGGATAAGGTACGTGTTTAAACGTGTGGCTCTCGCTTCAGCCCTACTTCAGGTCCTATAACCCATACATTCCATGTGCACGACACGCGCACGGATGCAGGGCAGCTCCATTAAAATATCGGGCTCTCGCTTGAGATTTTCGCAAACTTTACAACTGGGGCTCTCGAATTGTGCAGCACTTACACGGGGATGGGTGGCCGAGCCTTTTCGAAACGGGGCTATCGCTGAACACATCCTTGGATTTTAGCGTCCCACCTCTTTGTTATTCTTTCAGTTTAGATGGAGGATGGATCCCAGGGTGCAGGCTCACCAGGCACTCGTCATTCAAGGTGGCGCTTCCCACTATGAAAGCGAAGCCATGTCGGGATTTATGAGGAGGGAACTTGGGAATGGAGGGCGCTTTGGTGTATTGCAACATCGCTGACGCATCCTCGGTTTACTCTGGTCTTCCTCCTCCTCCTCCCCCTGCTCCTCCCTGGCAGTCTCCCCGTTACCTCTCCTTCATCATCCATCTCCACTTCCTCCTCCTCCTCCTCCACCTCCTCATCCATCTCCTCCTCCTCCTCCTCCTCCTCCTCCTCCTCATCCTCCTGGTCCTCATGATCCCAGGGATCATTCTCTTCTTCCTCCCCCACCACCTCCTCCTTCTTCTCCTCCTCCTCCTCCTCCTCCTCCTCCGCCTCCTCCTACTCCTCCTCCTCCTCCCTCCTTCCCTCCTCCCATCCTCCTCCATTCCGCCTCATTACTTCCTCCCTTCCTTCCTCCTCCTCCTCCCTCTCCTCTCCTCCTCCTCCTCCTCCCCCTCTCCTCATCCTCCTCCTCCTCCTCCTCCTCCTCCTCCTCTTCCTCCTTCCTCCTCCTCCCCTCCTCCTCCTCCTCCTCCTCCTCCCTCCCTCCTCCTCCCCCTCCTCCTCCTCCTCCTCCTCCTCCTCCTCCTCCTCCTCCTCCTCCTCCTCCTCCTCCCCCCTCCCCCCTTTCCCCTCCTCCTCCTCCCTCCTCCTACTCCTCCTCCTCCTCATCCTCCCCGCCTCCTCCTCCTCCTCCTCCCCCGCGCCTTCAATGCCCCTCCCCCCTCCTCGCCCTTCCGCTACGGGGGGCGGCGTCGCCCCGGTGCCCCGGCGGCTCGCCCTGGGGTTTCTGCGGCGACGGAAGGCCCACGGAGCTGAACACCGCGCCGACCGCCGCCGGGATGAGGTCGGCCGCCTTCGCGCCGTAGCGCTCCGCCGTGTCGAAGAAGTCGAGGCCACCCGCCAGGGCCGCCTGGGAGGAGCGAGGGAGGAGAAGGGGCAAGGAGGAGGGGGAAGGGGAGGAGGAGGAGGAGGAGGAGGAGGAGGAGGAGGAGGAAGGAGGAGGAGGCGTAGGAGGAGGAGGGGAGGAGGAGGAGGAGATAGGAAGGATGAGGGATAGGAGGAGGGGAGAGGAGGAGAGTGAGGAAGAAGAGGAGGAGGAGGAAGGCGTAGGAGGAGGAGGAAAAGGAGGAGGAGGAGGGGGAGGAGGATGAAGCTAGGTGCGCTCGCGTCATATCTGGCATCCTACCCCTCCCTCCCATCCCTTGCCATGGCGCAGCTCCCCTCTTTACTCGCACAGTCGGATGTCGAACAAGGCAATGATCCCGAAAGGGTACGCGATGCATTGTACAACACGGCGTGGCATGGCGTAGAAGATCACCGCGAAGCGTAGTATGAACCTAACATTGCATTGCGTGCCGTGGCATGGCACGGGAAATGACGCCAGCGCTGCAGCGGGAACACGAGTCGAAACGAGCGGAAGCGCGGAAATGACGCCCGCGCTGCAGCGGGAGCACGATTCGGAACGAGAGCAAGCACGCCGGAATCGGCCCGGGAGAGAAAAATGTGTATTGGAATGAATTTTTTTCGGCGTCGCCTCGGAACTCGATTTTCCGGCGCCGGCTGGAACCGGCTCCGGACCGGGCCTGGGCGCCGGCCAGGGCGCCGACTCGGGCGTCCGGCCCGGGCGCCGGCTCGGGCGCCGGCCCTGGCGTCGGAATCGGCCGAGGAGGCTTCCCGGGCGCCGGAAGCAAAAATTCAGCATTTTCAAAAGAAAAATGTGTATTGAAATGTCCTTTTTTCGGCGCCGCCTTGGAACTCGATTTTCCGGCGCCGGCCGGAACCGGCTCCAGACCCGGCCCGAATGCCGGCCCGGGCGCCGGATCGGGCGTGCAGGCGCCGGCGGAAATGAGGCCAGCGCTGCAGCGGGAGCACGATTCGGAACGAGCGGGGCCCGAAAATGAGGCCGGCGCCTCAGCGAAAGCAGCATTTTGGAAACAAATGCAAGCGAAAACCCAAATCCGGGGAAACCTGTGTGTAAAAAGAAAACCATCGCGGGGGGGGGGGGCGGTTACTCCCAAGACGTCATCAGGGGAAGAGGGAGAGTAGTATTCATATTGAATAATTGTAGAGGAGGAAGCGGAGGAGAAGGAGGAGGAGGAGAAGGAGGAAGAGGAAGAGAAGAAGGAGGAGGAGGAGGAGGAGGAGGAGGACGGGGAGGAGGAGGAGAAGGAGGAGGAGGAGGAGGAGGAGGAGGAGGAGTGCGGACGAGGAGGAGGAGAAGGTAGGAGGAGGAGAATTGGAAGAGGGAGGGAGGAAGAGGAGGAGGAGGAGAGGAGGAGGAGAGGAGAAGGAGGAGGAGGAGAAGGAAAAAAGATGGAGGAGGAGGAGGAGAATGCAGGGAGAGGGAGGAGGGGAGGAGAAAGGGCGAGGAGGAGGAGGGGAATGAGGAGAGGAGGAGGAGGAGGAGGAGGAGGATGGGGGAGGAGGAGGAGGAGGGAGGAGGAGGAGGAGGAGGAGGAGGAGGAGGAGGAGGAGGAGGAGAAGAGGGAGGATGAGGAGTAGGAGGGGCAGGGGTAGGAGTAGGAGTAGGAGTCTAGTTCGTCAGTTCGAGCGAAACATGCATGGCATGCCCATTTCCACCCGCCCTCCCACAACATAAGAAACAGTGCTGGCACAACCGGGAGCCGAGATCACATCGGCGAGCTGGCTTGGCACAGCTGACGCGGCCGCGACAGCGGTTACTGATGGGACCCCCCCAGCTCGTCTCAAAGGCTGCGCGGGCATTTTAGCACGAGTCGAGGATGCCCCAAGAGGACCCAGGAAACTTCAGAAGGGCCCCAAGAAACCCCAGGATGCTTCAGGACACCCCAGGGAGCCCCAGGAGTCCCCTGAAGGCCCCAACGAGTCCTTCCCCAGGAGGCCCCAGGAAGGCCCAGGAGACGCCAGGAGCCCCTCCAGGAAGCCCCAGGAGATCCAGGAAGCCCCAGGTAGCCCCAGGAAACTTGACTGGCAAAGCGCATCGCACGCGCAGATCGGCCAGCTGGTATGGCAGAACTCTTACGGCAACGATTGCGGTGGCCGATGGGAACTGGCCGAACGCGTCTCAAAGGTCGCGCCAGCGCGCGGGCACCTCGATGCAGGTTGGTGACTCCGGCGGACACGATGGCATGATGACGCCGACCACGGTGGCGACATGATGAGGAGTGCGGTGGCCCGCGATGATGGCAGCAACGACGACAAGGCCAGCGACGGTGCCGATGATGGCGACGACTCTGGAAGGATTTGAACATGCGCTCGCGGCGACGCGCGCGCATGTCGCCCGCGTGGTATTTTTTTGCACAGGATTCGCGCCCTGGGTGCATGACAGAACATCGCGCGTGCACCGCGCGGCGTGATGACATCGCTGGCTTTTTCACGACTTCGTGGAAATCGTATGATTCCCCGATGATTTCAGCAATTGCGCGCGGGAAGGAATTCTGAAGATTTGTAATGAAAAACCATTTGGTGTTTTAGGTTGTTTTGTTGAAATGCTTGCGAACACAGTTTGCTTGGTAGGATTTTGGCATGAACGCGAGCGTGTGCACTTTGTTGCATTTTCTGCAAGGGATTCTCGACGTGGACGACAGGACGTCAATGTTGAGAGGAAAAATGACGAAACATGATGATGTTGTATGTTGTATTGATTTTTTGCAGGTTAGGGTGGGACGTCCCAGATGGGGCGGCTATCGGCCAGGGAGAGGGGGGAGTAGGATAATATTCTGATAGGGAACACGGATCGCAGTAGTAGTAGTAGTAGTAGTAGTAGTAGTAGTAGTAGTAGTAGTAGTAGTAGTAGTAGTAGTAGTAGTAGTAGTAGTAGAAGTAGAAGTAGAAGTAGAAGTAGAAGTAGTAGTAGTAGCAGTAGCAGCAGCAGCAGCAGTAGTAGTA